CCCCCCCTTTTTTTTTTCAACCATGACAACTGGACGCTTTGTCGACTTCAACTCCCAGAATTCCCGAGCAGAATTCTGGGAGTTGAAGTCGACAAAGCGTCCAGTTGTCATGGTTGAAAAAAAAAAGGGGGGGGGGGCTCTATATAGTCAATTTAAGAACATCTGAAATGACAAAACCGGGATCGCAGCTTAGAATGGAGTCGGTTTGCAGGCTAGTCTGCTCCAGCACTGCCACCTGCTGGCCGTTTGCCCAACGACAGGCCAATGGATTTCTGTTTTATTTCGTTTAATTATTTATTTTAGCATCTTCCCAGGATCCCCAAAGACGGGGAGATGGGGACCAAAGAAGACCGGCTTGGTCCCTTGGCTGAAGATCAACTAGAGGAGATGAAAGGGAGCTTGGATTCCCATCAGCAGAGAGACTCAGTCTGCGAAAGCAAATGACAAAACCCCAACCCCCCCCATCCCCAAAGGGTTAACCCCCCCCTAGAACTAGGGGGAGGGGTGCCTTTTTTGTCCCACTGGGAAGGGGGGGGGAGGAGAGGTGGCCAAGAGGGCCCCCACTTGGGGCTTGTGACCCAGAGTGTTGCTTGTGCTCCAAATTGGTGGCAGCAGCAGCAGGCTTTGGGGCTGGCCGGAGGAGGCAAGGGGGGGGGTCAGGCAGCAGGCCACGGTTGCTATGGAAACCGCTCGGCTGCCCCCGTGGCCTGCTGGGAGTGCGGCTAAGCAGTGAGCATGCCCGAGGAGGAGGAGGAGGAGGAGGAGGAAGAGGAGGAGGAGAAGAGAGGGAGGGAGGAAGGTGAGAGAAAGAGAGAGGCTGGCATCAGATGGAGCCGGGCAGCCTTGAGTGGACATTCATGGAGAGCTGGGAGGCCTGAAGGAGAGAGCAGCCCCCAGGGAGCCTCCGGTGAAGCAGAGGGACCCAGCAGCCAGGCTGCCCCACTCCCATTGCTTTCTTCTTGGGAGGGGGGGGGGTCCCCTGTGCCAGCCTGCAGGCTGCCAGGCTCCTGCCAGCGATGCCTGAAGGAGCTTTCCACTTGCTCCCTGGAGCAGCAGAACCAGCCTCAGTTGCTGCTCCCTCACCTGTCACTGCCAGCCCCACAGCCCCCAGGTAAGACCCCTGGCAGTGCCCACCATCCTCACCCGATTGCCAGGAGCCAGGCAGGAGGGTCCCGAGGCCGGGAGCCCCCTCCCCCTTAAGAAGGGATCCGGTGTCTGGGGATGTCTGGGGAGAGCGAGGAGATCACCCGTCTTCGCAAACCACGTTTCTCGTACGAGGAGAACCAGATCCTGATCCAGGAAGTGCGAGCCAACTATGGGAAGCTTTACGGCACCCAGAGCCGGCGGGTGACGGTGGCCGAACGCCGGCAGGTCTGGGAGGGCATCGCCGGCAAGATCAATGGCATCACCAGCTGGAAGCGCACCGGCCAGGAGGTGCAGAAACGCTGGAATGACTTCAAGCGGCGCACCAAGGAGAAGCTGGCGCGGGTGCCCCACTCCACCCAGGGGACGGGCAACGCTGGCGACGAAGCCTTCTCAGCCGAAGAGGAGACGCTCTTCGCCATACTGGGGCCTGGCGTGATGCCAGGCCCAGGAGGGGCAGAGTCTGGGCTCTTGCGGGGCACGGCGGGCTTTGGGCCTCCCCGTTACCAACCGGCAGCTGAGCACGGCACAGGTGAGTAGCCGCGGTCCCTGGGGCCAAAGAGTCAGTTGGGCATCGGTGGAGCAGGTAGACTCTGGGCCAACTTGTCAAGAGGTGGGTTGGCATTTGAAGCAGATTGGATTCCAGAGGATGGTGGAGGGGGAGAGAGAGAGACAGAATTCTGGGAATTGAAGTCCACAAGTCTTCAAGTTGCCAAGTTTGAAGACCTCTGAATCAGTGGTGGGTTTCAAAAANACAGCATGAGAATTAAAATCCGCACTTCAAAGCCAATCCTTTTCAAAGCGTTTTTGCCCCCCCCCCCAATTCTGAATAGCAGCAAATAAAACCAGTGCACTCCCCCCACCACCAAAGATCCTTCGCTGGCACAGTCCCACCTTCCTTGCCCAGAAATCACCCTGTCCCTTTCGCATCCTTGTTTTTGTTCGCATTTCCACAGCCTTCCCCTCTCCGTTTCCTCTGCTGCTGATGGTGATGGTGGTGCAGAGGGGAGGGCGAGAGAAAGAAGGGACTGGCAGGATTTCCAACAGTCCCTCTGGGTGCAAAATTTATATATATATAAATTTCTTCCTTTCCTTTCGCTTCCTAAGCAGACAAGCCGACTCCATTTTGACATCGCCAGCTGTGATGGGCTGAGGTGGACCCAGAGCTGGGGAAATGAGGGGGGGAAAGAGGTGTGTGTGTGTGTGTTGGGGGGGGTCCTCTTTTGTGTGCATCCACACATCCACACCCCTTTCGAGGCAGGAAAGGCAGAAGGTGGAGGCCGAGATGCTGTCCCTGGGGAAGGAAGGGAAGGGCCCGATTCACCCAGAGCCTCCCAGGGCTGATGCTGAAGCCCAAGCCAGAGGGGGAAAAAATCCTCTTTGGATCCAAGCAAGAGGCAGCCTCTGGTCCTGGGGGGGGCAAATTGTGTGTGTGTGGGGTCAGGGCATGGAGAAGGGGAGGGGAAACAAAACCAGATATTGGAGGACTGGGTGAAGAAAACCCCCTCCCCAAAGGAGGGGGGGAGAAAGAAAAGAGAAAGGAAATGAAGGGGTGGGGGAAAAGGGGAGGTGAAAAATTGTGGGTGGGGGGAGGAAAAATAGATCTAAGGGGCTTTGATGCCCCAATAGAGAAAGGGAGACAGGTCCTTTCCCCCCCTTTTAGGAGATTTTTGGGGGAAGATTCAAGGGGGGGGGCTTTTTTGCAAGATATACTTGGGATGTCAGGGACTCTATTTAGGGAAAGGCCTCCCCAAGGATGGGGCAGGGTCTTTTCAGGAGCCGGGGGTCCCTGTCTGAATTCCCAGAGATCCCCCCCCCCCACACACAAACACCTCAGCCCGGGGAAGGCGTTCATTCTCGCCGGTTGGGAAACCGGCTGGGAACGGGAAAGGGTCTTTTTTCCCCCGTTGATTTCCTCCATCCCCCTCCCCGCCGCCTCAAGAATGGACCCCGTCCGAGCCCCCCNTTTTTTTTTTTAATTCAGACAACCAAACCAAGAACAACATGTGGAGTTACTTCTGAGTAACTGTTGTTATTGTTCCCCATCTATAGACAGAATCTGGCCAGGCTAAAGTAAGTGGTAAAGAGGCTGATGATGTTACCTAATTGGGTCATGAAATATCTGCAAGAAAGCCACCAATTTCAGAGAGTACCAAGCACCATACAGTCCTCCTCCTCCTCCTCCTCTCCACAAATCCCACTCCCTTCTAGCATTGAAGATGTTACCTAATAGGGTAATAACATGTCCGCAAGAAATCACCAAGCTCAGAGAGCATCAAAGACCCCATAGCTCTCCTTCTCCTCCTCCTCCTCCTCCTCCTCTCCAGAAATCCCATTGCCTTCCAGCACTGATGATATTTCCTAAATGGGCAATGAAACCTCTGCAAGGAAACAACCAAGCTCAGAGAGCACCAAGGACCCTAAACTAACCATTTGCATAACTCTAGATATATTCTGGGGAACTGTTAGGCAGGAGCCGTCTTCACCTCCTTTCGCTCACACAAGTTATCTAAACCTCACTGCCTCTTTCCCTTCTGAAATGCAGCCCCTCCCTCCTGGGAATCCAGACCGCATTCCACCACAGTAACTCTCTCTCTCTCCTTAGCCCCTACAGATCTGCCCGCCAGGGCCAACGTCTCCAGCAGCCCAGAGACCTCTGTCCAGCCTTCATGCTTGCTGAAACCCAAGGAACGTGACTCACCCGCACCCCCTCCAGGCCAACCCTCGTCACTGCAGATTGTCCAGCTGGCACCGTCTCCATCCTGTCTAGGCTGCGGGCCACATCCCGAACACTCCCCGGGAGAGTTGTTGGGCACCACTCCCTGCCCTTCGATTTCACCACCTCTGCGGCGCCGACGTGCCCACCTGGAGCTGCCTGTTGAGCCCTCTCTGGACTTCCTTCAGGCTCAGAGGGAGACGGCCGCAGCCATCCGGGAGCTGACCTACACCCTGCGGCAAGGCCTGGAACGGCTCACGGACGTGGTGGCGGCACTGCTGCCCCTCCTTCCAGCTTTGCCAAACGGCCTGCTGCCCCCACATGGGGAATACGGTCTCCCCATGGCAACCCCGGGCACAGAGACTGCCCCTGCTCGGGAGGGAGGGCCTGCCAAATCAGAGCTATCTCCACGGCAGGAACAGCCCGGGACTGAAAGGGGTTCATCTCCCAATCGGCCCCCTCTGGCACAGAAGCGAAAGAAGGGGACCCCAACTCGGAAACGCAGAGGACGTTGGAAGAATTTGTGAGCATCAGGCACAGATGTGCTTCCACCACACCCAAAAAGGAAGGGCAGAGGGGGGGCTGCTCCCCTGGGATGGCTGTTTCAGTCTCGCTCTCCATTTTCCCACAGGGAGGGCGAGCTGGAGCCCTCTGCGCTACCCCCACTTCCAACGCCATGATGGCAGCGCCAGGGACCATACTCCATGCCAGTCCCTGAGGTCACCTCTGCTGATTTTTGTGGTCCAAGTATAACCACCAACATTTATTCCACGCCCGGTGGGCTGCCATGCACCGCTGCCCACTTCTCCATTCATGGAATGTCAGTCTTCAATTCCAAAGGGGAAGTTTGCTGGGGGGGAAAAATCAGAAAAAAATAGATAGGCCCATATAGGACAAGCAGTCCTCGACTTATGATCATAACCGAGCCTAAACTTTCCGTTGCTAAGTGAGACATTCCTGAGGTGCACCGCTGTATGACCTCGCTTGCCACGGCTGTGAAGTGAGCCTCTACAGTGGTTGAAGTGAGTAAAGTGAATCTGGCCTCCCGGTCGATTTTGCTGGTCGCAAATGGGGATCACGTGACCTGAGAATCCCACAGCCATCATAAATAAGGGAAAGTTGCCAAGCGTCCTGAATTTTCAGCAAGTGACCACGGTTGTGTGAAAAACAGTCATCGCTTCCTTTTTTCACTCCGAATGGTCACTAAACAAACTGTTGTAAGTCGAGGACTGGTCGGATTGCTTAGTGCAGGGGTGTCCAAACATGGAAACTTTAAAACTTGTGGACTTCAACACCCAGAATTCCCAGAATTCCGGGTGTTGAATTCTATAGCTGGCTGGGGGATTCTGGGAGTTGAAGTCCACTAGTCTTAAAGTTGCCAAGATTGGATGGAAATTAAATCACCTAGTTTTTTAGTTTCTGACTCCAAATCAGGAGTGTTTAAGCCTAGCAACGTTAAGATGGATGGACTTCAATTCCCAGAATTCCCTGGGGCTGGGGCTGGCTGGGGAATTCTGGGAGTTGAAGTCCACAAGTCTTAAAGTTGCCAAGTTTGGATACTCCTGGCTTAGTGAGACCCAGGGCTCTGGCAGTTCTGTTCCCACAATGCAACAGGTCGTATTTGCTCCGTCCTACCCTATGGGGAGGTTGGTCCAGGCAGGCCCCATTTAGTCTGCCCCATTGCCGGAAAACAAACTTAACTTTGGGTTAAGTTTCAGGCCAGGCCAGAAGCCCGAAGATCCCTGGAGCATCGCAAGAGAAGGAAACCCGTGGCAATCAATGCCTTTGGTGGCACTGGATTCCCTCTGGTGGAAGCTCAATAAACTATTTTCATACGATGAGCAGAACTCTCGGGGGATTTGTTAAGTTCTTACTTGTGAACACCTGTGACACACCAGCGGCGAGCGGGGGGGGGCAGGCGTGGAAGGGGGAGTTCCGCTTTCTGGCGCACACCTTGGTAAGATGCAAAAGGGATAAAATCAGTCGTTTAAGACAGTGTTTCTCAACCTTGGCGACTTTAAGTCCTGTGGACTTCAACTTCCAGAATTCCCCAGCCAGCTCTGCTGGCTGGGGG